GTAAATTGTGTTAATCGTAATTTATAAATTGCAATTACAATTTCAAGAGAATAATTGACAATTATGATTTTTGTCATAATCGTGCAGCCCTACTGTATATACAGATACACACCCAGGTATCGGATCAGTACTCGGTATCGGCCAATACCCTGAGCCCAGGTATCGGAATCGGTATCGGGAAGGGAAAAAGGGTATCGGAACATCTCTAATCAAGATTCAGAATGAATGTTATATAGCAGCACAGTCTAGTATTAAACTGACCTTACTAAGATCAATAATATATGCATTTCTCATTAATTCACGTAATCATAAAAGGGAAACGTAGGTAGCATAAATAACGTCAAGCAATGCACATTATTTGTCAGATACCAAAGTATAAATACTCTGACCAAGTTCTCCCAGCAAGACATAGTCATCTGTGCATAAAATCTGAGTTTTTGTTGGCCTAAGGTTAGTACACATGCTCCTACATGTTGAGCTGCAGTGCTCATGCGGGCAGAAAGAAAGTTTGAGCCCAGCTCACTTCTTTTCCTGATCTTCTTCCCATTATTTCCCGTTTTTTTTTCTATACCATATCTAGCAAAAACTTTAAAAAACGGCCTAAATATACTGTAGAAACAGTTCATTATAAACAGTCTTAATTTGCTCATTCCAATTGCTAATATTTATTGGTATACCATAGATCTGAATCCTAATAAAAAAAGGCAAAAACACCAAAAATAAAATCTTTAAAAATGCAGTAAAACAAGTCATATTATAAAATATTATTACAATCTAAACAACTGTTTATAATTTCAAAATATGTTAAAATGTCATTTATTCCTGTGATAGCAAAGCTGAATTTTCAGTCGTTACTCCAGTCTTCAGTGTCACATGATCCTTCAGAAATCATTCTGATATGATGATTTGATGCTCAAGAAACATTTCTTATTATTATCAATCTTGAAAACAGTTGTGCTGCTTTATATTTTCAAAAAAGTTCAAAAGTACAGCATTTATTAGAAATAGAAATATTTTGTAATATTATGTCTTTACAGTCACTTGTTTTGATCAATTGAATGCTTTCTTACTAAATAAAGTATTAATTTCTTCCAAAAAAGAAAAACTTACTGAACCCAAATATTTGAGTGTATGTCCTGGATTTCCTTTTGTAAAAACTAAACCACAAACTGACTAGCAAGCACTAACTAAAGTGTAGCCTTCAGTTAAAAACAATTTGAATTTTGTTGCACAATGACTATGATACAGAGGAAATTAGTCTAAAATATTGGACATTATAATCAGAGTGCATTAAAAAGGATTCATTTACTCTGAAAATAGCTTTAAACAAGCACTAGCATTAATAATCTCAAATCTCAGTTTCCTCCGGCGTGTTATTTTTCAGTAATAGGTTGACGAAACAGAGGACTCGCATGAAAATCTGGTTCACTAGGAAGAAGAAAAACAATCTTAAACCCCTATGGACTTCAGTATGACGCAAACAGCGTTTGCTCGTCAACAAAAGAACAATACCTTCACTAGAGTAAACCCTCACTCCCCTCATCCAGCTATACCCCGGTGTTAATAGAGCCTGACAGATGTGCACAATCTGATCTCCAGTTCAACTATTATCCTTTTTTTCCCGCTTATGTGGCTTTTAGTTTTGGTTTACAGGAGCTGAGTGGTCTAAAAGGGGTCATATGATGCGATTTCAATTTTTCCTTTCTCTTTGGAGTGTTACAAGCTCTTGGTGCATAAAGAAGATCTGTAAAGTTGCAAAGACTAAAGTCTCAAATCCAAAGAGATATTCTTTATAAAAGTTTAGAGTCAGCCACACCTACCTAAAACGGCTCGTTCTAACACGCCCCCACGTCTACGTCACGATGTGGGAAGATTTGCATAACGCCGCCCAAATGTTCACGCAAAGAAAGAAGGCGTAACTTTTATTCTCGCTGTAGTATTGTTGCCGCCGTCGCCATGTCGTGAAGGCGCTGTGTGTTTCGTTGTGAAAGCGAAACTACTTTGTTTGGCCTTCCAAAAGAGGACGATATCCGCTTCGTCATGCCTGGAGCTGATCCGTGCTGGTCGCTGAGGAAATACATCAACTTCGCACGGTGGATCGCCGGATCGGCTTTCACCGTGGACGAAGCGGAGTCCAGCCCGGGGTCGCCACAAGTGGTTGCTGCAAGCCCGCCCGCCGCCGCCTACTCAAGCCGGCCTCCGCTCACTCTAGGCCTCTGGCCTCCACTC